CACACACACACACACACACACACACACACACACACACACACACATGCACACACTTTTATAACCTCTAAGGCGTGTGCCATAAAGAGCTTATGTGTGCGCACATCCTGCTACGGCAACATCCTTTGGCTCCTTGCTCCTTGGCGACATGCGAAATTTTCATGTAAGCGGCAGCTGCAGAGCAACTCAGGCAAATTACACGACAACAGCAACAGCAGCCAGGATACATGACTACAAGGATGTGTCGGCTGGTTTTTTGTTGGGGTGGAGCGGGTGCCATGAAAAATGTATGAGAAAGCTGCCTGCCTGCATTTGATAATTTCCAACTGGGTCAACGTTTGACTAGCTGGGCGTGGCAAGGCGTTCGATAAGGGCGACAGCCATGTCGCAGGATATGGGCCAAACTTTAGTTGCGTTAATGTAATAATAATATGATTTAGTTAAGCATAGCTAGAGAGGGAGACAGAGAGAGAGAGGGAGAGGGAGGGAGAGGGAGATGTAGCGCGAAAGTTTTGCCTTTAAGCAGCAAAGTTTGACGCCAGATGGCGCTACTGTTGACAGTTGACCCACTAAATGCTAATCAGACGCGTTAGCTAAACTCGAGCAAAGTTCAAGTGCTCGTGCCCAAAGAAAAACAAAAACTTTGCCAAGTCCAAACAGAAGTGAAATCATTTATGAAAAATCTCTCCACAATTGACAAGCCAACTCTGAAGGAAGGCCGCATAAATCTTAACAACAGAGAGGACTGAAAGCAAAGGCAAAGCCAAAGCCAAAGGCAAAAGGCAAAGCAAAAGCTAAGCCAAGCAAAAGGCAAAGCACTGACCCAAATTTGCGTATGAAAATGCTAATCAGCCGGCCAAGCCGAGCGAGCCAAATTTGGCTTGAATGCAAAGCCAACAACGGCTCACAAGTTGTCATACAGCGCCAATTTTCATTTACATTTTCCATTTTGCCATTTCCCTAGTTTCCCATTTGCACAGCTCTTGGCCACGTTTCCTGCTTGGCCCAGATAAATTAGAGCGAATTAATTGCATTCCGAATAAACAAAGCTAATTGGAACTCATTTCGCATGTGGCTCGACGCTCTGCATGCCAAATGAGAAGCCGAAACCAAAGAAACACACACAACTTTTCCTTGTTCTCCTTGTTATGCACGTAAATGCTAAATGCCCATTGTCATAGGCGGAGGACGGCCTGCAGCTGCTGGCAGCTGGGAGCTGGAGTCGAGCTGGGAGCCGGGCTCTGCAAATGATTGTCAAATAAATCAGCAAAGCAGGCAGCGGCAGCGGCAGCAAAAGTAAGTCGGCGACGCCAATGCAGCTGACAGCCACTGGGTATTCATCATGTGGCACCCATCCTCACTCCACCCACTCCACTCCACTTCACTCCACTCCACTCCACTCATTGCTTGTAAATATAAGTAGCCCGCCCCCGGCCCCTGCCCGCCTTGCTTTGCCCTGGCTGGCCTGTCAGAAAGGTGACGAAGCTTGTTTTTGTTGCCCGCGCTCATTTGTCAAATTATGAGCGACGCAGCTCAAGAAAATCAGAGCCGGCGCAAATGAGGCGGCATTTGTTAAGGAGCAGGAGAGCGAGCAACTGGAAGGAGGCCGAGGCCGCTCGGCTGCCAACTCAATTGTGTCAAAGGCGAGCGGCAGAGAAAAGGGTTACGCAGGCACTTTGAAAAGTGCGTTAAAGAGACCCAAAAAGCCAACACAACAAGCAGGAGTAGGAGTAGCAGGAGCAGGAGTAACAGGAGCAGCAGGAGCAGCAACAGCCACTACAATTGTATGTATTTTGCCAGCACAGTTTTGTGTTTTTTTTCCTCCTTTCTAAGCCCGCCTTGCTCCATTGTTGCACTGCTGCCCATTGTTGGCCATTTCCTGCTCGCAGTGCCTGCCCCAGCGCCTGATTGATAGCCGCATTTGCATAGGACAAAAAGAAAGGAGGAAGCTGCGATTGTGTCTTTGTATCTGTGTCTGTGTCTGGGCTGCTGTAATGAGCCTCTGCCAGCAGCTCCACATAAATAGTATATATAGTGTATATATAGGACGCTGCATGGCAAATGAGCACACAGCCGGATGCAAAACGATAAAGAAAGAGTGCGAGTGAGAGAGATGGAGAGAGAAGGCATAGCAAGTGCTGCTCGAGCAGCATTTGTAAATAAATCAAGAGAAAATGGCGGGCGGCATTGTCACACAATTCTGCTTAAAAGGCATTTGATTTAGGCGCAACAACTGTAAAGCTGACAGGATGGGACGCAACCTACAAAATACAGGACATGTCCAACCCGTTCGCTCGCTCGTCAGCCTTGAAGCTCGTCAAAATTCATGGAAGGCAGCGGAGCAATAATTTTGCTTAACCCACTGACATGGCAACCCAATTTGAGGACCGCAACTTGATTTATGGCACTCAGTTGGGACCCCACTATATACATATACATATATTTACGTCTATGTGCGTGTGTGTGTGTACTCACTTGCTAAATCCTTTGTAGACTGTCGCATAGGAGCCCTCGCCGAGCGGTTCCAGCTTAACATAGGCCTCCTGCTTGCCGAATGGTGAGTCGCCCTGCGGGGTAAAGAGAGAGAAATAAATAAACAAAGTTGTAATTAGCCAAAAGTTTTGCAAGCTGATCTTAATTTATGTTGGAGACAATTCTTATCAAACTCAAGTTAAATTGTTTTCAACTGCCGCCTGAAAGTATGCAGCGAAGTGTGTTTGATTTGCCGCTCAAAAGTAGGCAATGGAAATTTGCATTGTCAAAGAAGCGAAATTTGTGCATATAAAGCAGTTGCTGATTTGTTGTTCCTATTGTTCCAATTCCAGGAACAAAGACAAGCGTTAACATAGATGTAAAGAACATAATATATATGTACATTAATGGGGTATATAATATATTTGGACGTTCACTCAGCAATTTCGTTTTTATTAGCGCAGTCGGAACACAACAATTGTGTAAACCATTTGGTGTAGCTCTACACCTTTTCTATTAATCAATGCTAGACTCAAACGAGTCTGTACTTAAAAAGCTATTCCCATGTGAATATTATTCTTTAATTGTGGTTGAAGCAAAAAGTGTATCGATGTCTGCGTCGAGAAGCAGCTCTATTCTACTTTCATCTGCTTCTTCCATTCCGAGTAACAGGTTAAGCTCTATGGAAGTAGTTGTCCTATTTGTCTACATTTACTCTGATTTATTGTATGGAAGTAGTTGTCCTCTTTGTTTGAATTTATTCTTTGGTTTATAGTATGGAAGTAGTTTTTCTCTTTGTCTCACAGATCTATGTTGCCAGATGAGAGAAACCATAGAGAACATTTCATTGACACAATCAACCGCAACTTGGTTGATATTATTGATTGATATAGGGGTAGAGTTTGGCTTTTTTAAACCAAGAAATATATGCGCTCTTTAGACTAAAATATTCCCAACTTGTTGGGCGTCTCTACTCTGAAGACCTTCCACATTGGAATACATTTTATATTTCTCTTGCTTAATAATAACCAAAAGCCAGCTCCTTTTCTCTATACAATCAATTTCCATTATTGTTTGTGATTGTATTACAGCTACTTTACTTTAACGTTGCATGTTGAATTAGTTCAACTTGTAAATGTATTTCCTTATTTGGGACTCTCAATGCCAAAGCACAGGGTCCCACCAGGACAAATTTCAAAGAGATAAAAATATTTTCAATGACTCCTCCAAGCTCAACGCTGTGCACTACACTCAAGCGCCGCCACAACCAGTTGAGAATTGTAAGCGCACAAATATGAAAAAAGGCGCACAGAAGTATGCAACGATTTATGCGCAGTTCTCTGTGTGTATGAAGAGCTATATCAAATGACCAGCAATAGAGTACAGTTAGACAAAGTGAGTGCATAAATTGATGGAAATTGATTGAGTGAGAGGAGAAATGCATTTACTGCTGCTTTTCATTTCACTCTACTTACCCCAAATGCACTGAAACGTTTGCGTCGCGGATGCGGATCCTGTTTGTTGAGAAAGACCTCGGACTTGGGTCTGGGCGGCTTCTTGGGTCGCATGACGACATGCGAATGGTACTTCATCTCCTCCCTGATGTCATCGTCCAACAGCTTGCTGTCCGACGAGACCGACAATTGTCGCTGTACGCGATCATGATGGTCGGTGCTGTCCGTGCTGCGCCAGTCTGCAAAGGGAGGAAGAAGGAGAAGAAGAAAAGAGAGTAGAGTCATCAAAAAGCGAGCAAAAGCAAGGAAAGGAAACAGCTTAATGAGATTGTACAAGTGCTTGGAGTAGACTACTTAAAATCTAAATTAGTGTACCACACAGAGAGAAGGAGAGAGGCAGAGAGACTGTCAAAGAGAAAGAGGGAGCAAAGGTAAGAGAGAACAAAGCATAAGCCAACAAATGGCCAGTTGCAGGCTGGCTGAAGGACCTTCAAGGAGTGCAGAAAAGGATTTGGGGCTCGGCATAATGAGGCCACAGCCACGCCCCCCCAGCCAGTTGTTGGCAAGTTTGCTCATTAACCCAGGAGACCGAGAGGGGGCTGCCAGAGGTGGCTGCATCATCATCATCATCATCATCAATGGCCAGCCTTGAAAGCGTTGCATGCAACAACTCTGCGGCCACTGTGGCAACTCTGGCATGTTTACACAGCGGCAACCGAAACCGAAAACCGGAACGAATCGAATCCGCTGAAGCTCTGCATAATACAGCTGGCAAATATAATAAAAATGTTTCAAAAGCTCTATATGTATAGGTGAGTGTAAGTGTGTGTGTGGGTGTGTGTGTGTGTGTGGCAGCAGCTGGCAGCAGGTGGCAGCCAGTTCAAAGTTGGTCTAGGACAAACTTTTGTTGCAATTGTAGCTGAGGGGCGTGGCAGCTGCTGCTGCTGCTGCTGCTGCGGCAGTGGGTCACCTAGTAACCCGATGATATTCATTGACTTGGGAGCGTGTCAGCCAGCGTGTCCCTAGCTGGCTTTCAATTTGCTTTAGCAATTTGTTTGCATTGCCACTGCCACGCCCACACAGCACAGGCACAGGCACAGGCTCTCTCTCTCTCTCCCACTCCCACTCTCTCTCTCTCTCTGCACTTGGCTTCGCCCTGTTTGTTTGGCTTTCTATTTGAGCACTAATTACATTTTAAATTATGTTTGCTTTTGGCATCGTCGTGGCTGCTGCTGCTGCTGCTGCTGTGGATGCAGTTGCTACCGTGACTGTTGCTCTGACAGCTGCACACACACACACACACGCGCACACAGGTGTGTCTGTGTATCTTTGTGGCTTTATTGAAATATTTATATAATATAGTTGTGGCTGGCGGCTGTTGCCAGCGCAGTTTGGTTTTGTTGCAGCCCTCGAAGAGTGGGCGTGGCAGCACGTGTGCATTGCATGATATATACAGTTCAATGCGAGCGAGCGTAAATAATGGAAGCACGTGAGCCACTAGCGAAATTTTAAGCAACTTTTGCTGAAACTTAAAGCTGCCCAACATCCCCCACCTCTCGTACTGTTAAGTTTGCCTCATTTGCGATGCATAATTTCGCATTTCCTTGCCTGCGCACAATGATCAAGTCCCCGGTGTAACACTTGCTTAAACTCGTCTTTCAATTTCGCCAACTTCAGCTTTCATTGAATTGCATTTCCGCTGGGCTTCTAACCCACATTTCCGAGCAGAGCTCGCAACACCTACTCATATATGCACACAAACACACACACACACACACGCACACACACTCAGGCATTCATGCCACAGTCAATGGCCTGACCATAGTACGAGAAAGAAAAACTCCATTTAGGAAACTGAGCGTTCAAGAAGGTCTTCCAACTCCATTTGCTTTCACCTCGTGTTTTTTTTTTCACGCCTCCCCAAAAAGCAGCTCTAGCTGTTAGTTCTGGACTAGAAGTTACCCTGGAGTTATTGTATATGAGACTTTAAGGAGTTTGTAAGTACTTAACAAAGTTTTTCTTTCTCTCTGAATTAGAACTTTGAGCTGCTAAGAAGTTGCGCTCTTAGACTTGTATGATTCTTGGCAATAAATTTAGCAAATTTCAACAATAATCTTCACTAAATCCATACTCTACATATACCATATTCTTGACAAATAATTCTGCCTAATAAAATCTAAAATATTCGCAAAAAGTTCTACATATAATCATATATCTAAATATCACTATCAAATGGCAGTTTAGTAATGTTGATTAATCTCTCATTTGATAATGATATTTAGATGGTATATCTGATTATATTTCGTTACTATTCTCCCATCCACAGATATATTTCCCCAACTTCAGTCTATGATATTCTCCAGTTTCTCTCTCAAAACTGAAGTGCTAAGTGTTATGGCTTTTCGTTAAACTCATAATAGGGCATAAAACCTATCTGGATATCGTCTGTCGCCCATCTCGACAACTATCACGCCTTCACCAACCCCTAGCTACATCTTATGCGCACAGGGTATACAGCCAGCGAAGAGAAGAAGAAGAAGCAGAAGTAGGAAAAAACTAAATAAAAACCAAATTTAATATGCGCGCACAAGATGCTCGCTGTGGATGGCGCTTCCTGTTGCCTGCCTGTTGCCTGTGTTGCCAGACAGTCAAACAGAATGTTGAGAAATGACTAACATAAAAATTAAAAATTCAACAGCAGCCGATTGTGCGAGGCGGGGCGAGACGAGCTGGCATGACGTAAGGCGAAAAATAAAATAAAAACTTTTGGGCAAACTTGCCGAGGATAACAGGATATCAGGATATTAGTATATGAAACGCTGCCTTCACGAGAACGGACGTTCGTTGAAAGCTAATCCGACTGTGAATCGCATATGGCACACACACACACACACACACACATGGCATATGTACATATTAGACGAAGACAGCGCACAGAACGTTCCATGGCAAATGTTGACGGCGATTAAATGCGCAATATGCGCCATAAATGAGCCAAATAAAAGAAAAGAAAACCGAGAGGAATACTTGAAGGAGAACAAAAACAAAATGAAATAAAGAAAGAACAGATATTGAACGAGTAGAGCCACCGAGTGCTCACAGCTCCAGCCAAATCTCATCTCATGCTAGTGCCTCAAGCAGACTTCTCTCTCTCTCTCTCGCTCTCTCCCTCACTGTGTCTGTCTGTCTGCTCCTCCTGCTCGATGACATTGTCGTCCTGGCAGCCGTCTTGGCTACAGCTCAAGCAAAAGGGGCAAAAGGGGCAAAGAGCCGGGCACATAGATGAAAGCCATTTGATTTGCAGAAATTGACTGAGCATTGGCAAAGTGGCTGTAAAATTGGAAAAATGACTCGCAAGGCAAACGACTTTTAGCGCTCTTCTACCACACATTTGGTATATTAGAAAGTTCAAAAAATTCCAATAGTTGTGTGTGATTATTCCGCAGCGAGTGCCAACAATGCCAATGGCAATGACAATTCCGAGACACAAACTTGGCGCATATCAAAAGAGCTGGCGATAATCATTTGGCAATGATAATGCCAATGCGAAATGGCCATGCTAATGGAACAGTTGGCAACGCTTACCGCATCGCGTGGGTGTACAGACACATATGTCCATCTATCGATTAGGGTGGCTTTCATAACTGGGGCAACTGGAGCAGCGCTCTAATGGCGCTCAAGCATTCAAGTATTGAATGCAAGTTGTTTATGACTTTAATGAGATTTGTAACATTGATTTGTGATGTTGCTTAAGTGATCTGGCAACACCGAACAATGTTGCATGCATATTAAGTTGGCTGCGCTTGAATATTACACAAGATATCTCTGAATACCTTTCGTTTACTCTATGAGTTAGCGGTTAGAGATTCTGTATCATTCTTCTTCTCTGTAGAGTCTCTATGTTTTGTCATTCTTTTTTTTCACTACCATCAAGTATACCTGCCTCTACCGTCTCTCCAACTCTCGCGCTTCCTTAGTTTACAAACCACTTGCTCAGATCAAAACTTTACAATTCTGTCAAAATTAATACTTAAAGTTCTTCCTCGCTCACCTCAACTTTACAAACTATCTTATGGCATACAAGAAACATTATTTACATCTTCTCTCTCTCTCCCCCTCTCTCTCTTTCCATGTTTATAGCTACTTCCTCCTGCGTTTTTTTACAGCATTCATAAAGTTATATAGCCGGTTTTTGGTACTGCACTCAAGCGCAGCGAGCAGTCCCCCGCTTTGTCTGTCGTCACGGTCCTTTCGGAACTCCTTTAACGCCTTTATGCTTAAGTTTTATTGCGTTACACACTAAAATCTCTCGGGCGAATAACTTGAAATGCAAACAGAAATCAGAACAGGAAACGGTTCACAAAAACAACAACTCAAAGAATAAAATGATAAACCAAGGAAATGAAAAGAAAAAAAAAACAGTAAGGAAAATGAAAACTGAGTGCAGAAAATTCGCGCATAAAATGAAAACAATGAAAATTATGCAAGCGCGTTACATCAGCCGAGCAAAAGTAGAGGCAAAAAAAAAAAAAAAAAAAAAAAAAAAAAAAAAAAAAAAAACAATAAGAAAAAAATGGAAATAACACAGAAATGCAAAAATGTGTCATACAAAAAACGGAAATGATAAAAATAGCGGGCGCTGAAGCAGCAGACTGTGCGGGAGGCGGGACGCGGAGTAGTCGGGTGAGACTGTCTCTGATGCTGCTGCTGCTAGTGCTGCTCCTGCTCCTGCTCCTGCTGCTCCTGCTGCTGCTGCTGCCTCTTGGCGGCGGTCATAGTTATGCAAATGCTATGCAAGGATGTCACGTCCTGCTGTGACTTAAAGCCAGCCAAACACTTGCACGCACACACATGCGACCCCAGTGGGTGGCTAAATTGTATCTTTCCCCAGGGTCTTCATATATTTTTTTTTCTTTCTGTTTTTGCATATCTGCAGTGTGCGTGTGTGCGTGTGTGTGCGTGTGTTTGCCCTGCTGTTGGCGGCATACCCCAACTGTTGGCCTTTTGCATTATTGCATATTATTCGCAATTTCTGTTTACTACTCGTATTTGTTTTTGGCTTTGCGGCATTATTTATGACTCCTGCCCAGGCCGGCAACAGACTATCATAATAAAAAGAAAAAATCACAGCACAGTACGCTGACGAGTGGCTCAGACACGCCCACACGCACCACATACATCAGCTAGTGTGTCGCCTATAAAACAGAAATGAGCTAAACATAAAAAAATTTTTACTTCTCATTTGCATAAGTACGCGGGACACGTAAAGCGTGCGAATTTATGCTTCTTGTATTGCTCAAGTGCACTATGAAACATTGTTTTTTTTTTTATGATTATTATTAATATACCCTGTACTTGATGGGCATGAACGAAATATGGAAGAGTGCTGATAGTGGAAGTGGATGACAAGATTTCTACTGCTACAGCTGTTAAATTTAGAATTGATATTTTATCGGGGTATTTTAAGGGGTATCTGCTAGTCGAGCTGACCTTTTTTTCTATTTAGTAGAAGTAAACTAAAGTAGAAGTAAATGCAGGCAAAAAAGATTCTGCATTAAATTGTCTTTTCAACTTTTTAAGGAGTATCTGTTAGTCGAGCTTAACTATAAAATCTATAGTACCAGCTGAATATTTACATAAATAGCTATGCATTATTTAGCATTAAGTTAGGTACGCCATTTTATACTATACAAACATTCACCAACTTTGCGCGGTATCTGCTAGTCTTGACAACTCTAAATATTTTATCGCTCTTATTCATATGCGCGTGTCACGCGTTTGCGTAAAAATTTAATAAAACAAACATTCGCTCAACTCGTTGAAGCGTACGCCGCAGGCCCCTTTGGCTCGCTCCATGTCTAGCCAAAATAAATAAAATATATGGCAAATGGTGAGCGTATATATATTTATGCGCCGGGGTGTATCGCCAGAGTGAGTATTTCCTCCTCGGCCAGCGACAGGAAATACAATTTTGATAAATGCAACAGCACAGCGCGCTCCAGCACGATGGCCATCGACAACGCATTTCAAATTGGGCAACCAGCCACGCCCTACAGCCCACTGCCCACCGCCCACCGCTCACGGCCAGAGTGCCAGCTTCATCTCTGGCGACATCAAGTGTCCTCCAGCTGGAAACATTTGCGCTGTTTTTATTTGTTTGCGGACCGTTTCGCCTTCAACCGTTCGCCGTTATGTTTGTGATTTATTATTCAGGCCAGAAATTAAATTTTGCTCTCTTTTTACAGCAGCCTCGCCGTCGCCTGCTCTCCTTTGTGTGTTTTGGCAGCCCTTTTAGTGTCACACCCACACCCACACACACACATATACATCCTGTGCCTGCTTGCTAAGTGCCACAAAATTTATTGTGTTGTTGCTGAATTCAATTACAGCGATGATAACCGAAAGGAAAAAAGGACAAGGCCAAAGCCGAGGCGATAGCTCGAGATGGCGACAGGAATCCAGACACCAGACTCTCCAGACTCTAGACTCCAGACAAGTGCAGTCAATGCCAAAGGGATTTTCAATATTGCATCCTTGAATGCCACACACACACACACACACCCATACACACCCCACAATCACACACACACACACACACGCATACCCTCACTAAGCCTCGCAAATGTCTCAATATGAAAATGATAGCCCGCTGCGTTTTGTCATTAACTTTAGCCTGTCGACTGCACTCGGCGAGCAAGGACAACGGCACAGGACGACGACGACGACGATGATGATGATGACAAAGGCAAATTCTAATGCCAAACTACACAAACAGAGGGCACAAAGGACATCATATCTATTTTAATGACATTTTGAAAGCTTCTCCCATAAAATATGATTATTTAAATTGCTGTCAAAACAGTCATAACCAAAAGAAAAACACGCAGGAGTGCATAGTAGGAAATGCTCAACTAGAAAATACCCGGAATGCCATGCTGGGCTTAGAGGGAATGGAATATGTGGAGCCCAGCTTTTATCTATGTATGCTTACGGAGTATATACAATACATTTAAAGTGTATATGATAGCAGCTCAATTAGCTGAAGATATAATATCGATCATTATCGATAATTTTAATCGATTTTGGGTTAAGTGACTCATGGAAGGAGCTAGTTCAAGTGTTTAACTTTTTTAGGAGTCACGAATATCCACGTTCTTATTTATATTGACCCGACATATCCATAATTTCCAACAGACACAATATACCCCATTTAAAAAAGCTGCAGGGCATACAAACTACTATTAAAATAACCATCTAAAGCAATTTACGTTAACAGCATGCAAAAGTTTGAGCTATGCATATAAAAAACTACAAGTTTTAAAGCTACACTAAAGCTAAGGCTAATTTAAAGCTAGAAATTTTTGGAGTGCATCATTACCTTGTGGTTTATTATTATCATTTTTCGCAGATTCTTGTGCTAAAAATAAAAGGTAGAAAAAACATATGCAAATTAAAATTAAAAATTCGTCGCAACATAAAGTCAATTTTAAGCTAAGCGGGATTTAAGACTAGGTGGAATATTGCATAGATAAGAACATGTGATTGCATAAATGAGTGAGACTGAGATTGAGCAAAAGCAAAACTAAGTAGTTTAATATAATGAGATTTTGAAATATAGGTAATTATTTGATATGCAATTTAATATACGACAAAAGCTTAGAAGATAAGAATGGTAAATAGGTACGAGTTCATATGAGTCTTAATTTAAATTCTATTTATAAGTAATACATGAGTAAAATAAATAATATAATGAAAGCAGCAGGAAATTATATAGAATGATAGACCTAAGCAGTGAGACGATTTCATACATAAAGGAGATGGAATAGAAGATGCTATAGAAAAAGAAGAATATGTGAAATATTTCTTTATCTATGTAAAGCATTTCTTTATCCATGATATCAACATTTTCTCATTCTACTCTCTTTATTGATACTCTTCGCCATCTTTATGCTTGATATGATCTAACTTATTTTGAGCCATAGATCAACGACTAAATTAAAGCATTATCAGAATCACACAGAGAGGCAGTTTTTAGGGCTGTTTCTGGCACTTAAAGTCCTAACTACAAATAGATTCCATTTGAATACATATATATTCTAATCTAGGCAAAGCTCTTGATTATGTTATATGCATTTTCATTTCATAGCAAAAAAATTGTCAACGAAAACTGAATGGCTTAAGAGCTCATGGAGCAAATTGATGTGCAGAGCAGAGCGAGTCAGGTATATATGTATATGCAATTCAGACAAGGTGTTTGCTTTTTTCAGACACACTTACACACACACACACACACACTGGTTATTATTGTGCGCATATCGATTTGCAGCTGAGAGTAAATCCACTCACAAAACAGCTATGCTATGGCAGCTATTACACGCTTGTTGACCAACCAACGAGCAATACTTGAACTTTATCAGCTCTGTCTCCCTCTCTCTCTCTCTCTCTCTCTCTCCCTCTCTCTCTCACTCTCTCTTTCTCACCGTCTCTCTGTGTCTGCTTGCTGTTAACTTTGTGCACAAATAAAAGCATAAATCGCGCGTAATAATTGGCCAAAAAGCACATTTAATGGCTTATATACCACGTCAAGGACGCGGCAAGGCAAGGACAATGGCTGCTGCTGCTGCTACTCCTGCTGCAACAGTAAGTCGTTAAGAGATTTACTCCTTGGCCATATTTCTTTTTGCACTCGACTACACCAAGCGCAAAGAGGTCTCTGAAATTTCGCTCGTATGTTGCTATATTATTGAATAAGAAATTGACATTTGATTAGAGATTTGGACGCTGTGTGCGTGTGTGTGTGTGTGTGGATCGACCCCCAGAGTCGAACTCTGTTGTGGCCTGCGGCCACGGCCACAGCTCGGACTCGGACTCGGACTTGGATCGGGCAGCATATCCTTTCGCTCATCACTTCCAATTACCGCTTATTTATTGCTTCATTTTCACTGGCAGAACTCACTTACGCAGCCCAAGGGCCAAGCCAAATTGATTTGTGTCCGTGTGTGTGTGTGTGTGTGTGTGTCTGTGTGTGTGCTTGGATTAAGCTGGCGACCGTTTGAGGATTTGTAGCTGAACTCTTTCCCGGCCATTACGTCTACAGCCAAGGGATTTATTAAGAGAAGCAGCAGCAGCAGCTGAAGCAAAGGAGTAAAGCAAAACTGTTGCCGGTTGATTGTGTTTAATTACTCCAGCCAAAGGACAGCCATGTCGAACATTGATTTTCATTTGCGATATAATGAAAAGCGTTTCCAATTAGAAACCAGCAGAGCAGAGCTCGCTTGTTATTGTTGTTGCTGCTGCTGCTGTAGTTGTTGTTGTTATTAAAAGACGAATCGACACGTACAAACAATTTGCGCGACGTGAGCCAAAACCCTTTCATTTTTGTTGTTCTTTGCTCAAAGAGCAGATTTTTAATTGCAGCCAAGTCTGCTTGGCTTTGTTGACAGCAATTTGATTGGACGCCAACAACACATAATTACTCATGCCACATGTTGCACGCCACCAGAGGCGAGACGAAAGGCCGCCGGGCCAAGGACTTCAATCAACGCTGTTGGCTCGAGGTGTGAATTGTGAAAAAACGAATTTGTTTATTTAATTAAAATTGTGCGGGGCCAGCGAAACTGAGTTATGGCATTGTTTGGGATTTTCTTTTGAAGAATGGAAGAGCACAGCATGCAAACATTGTAGTTGCTTAGGCTGGGCTGAGAGTGCTGCAGGTGTCTGACGCCATTGATGTTCAATTTAGCTAATAAGCGCTGAAACATGTAGCTGAAGATGATTTATATTGACAGAAATTCTAATTGAAAATCCCAAAAGAATTGACTCAAGCAATCAGAAATGAATAGCTGAAGCGAATAACTCGAATAAAGTAGTCCTGAATAAATAAATTTAATATTTCTTTAATTATAAAAAAATAAATAAATATTCTCAGAGCAATCCCATCTAAGTTTCGCGTACTACAAACAGCAGGTAATCTCTTTTTTCATTTCTAAATCTTTTAGGAACTCTTCTGTATCGATGCAGGAATCGTAACAGCTTTTCGAGTGCTGTCTGTCTGTTGTCTGTTTGGCAGCTGATGGATGTGGCTGAGGCGGCTTAAAGCTAAACAACAATAGCACTTTGATGTTTTCGTTCACGTTTTCGTTTTCTAATTAACAGGCAAGCCGCAGGAGTAGCAGCAGCAGGCAGCAGGAGTAGTAGCAGCAGGCAGCAGGAGTAGCAGCAGCAATCGCAGCAACGTCTGCCTGCCTGCCTGTGGAGTAGTAAATCCATCAAGTTTCGGGTATACACGTCCGCACGGTCCGCCACATCCTGCCGAGACATGCAGGCAAACACGCAGCAAAGGATATTACTTAACAAATTACATAAAATTACTTTTCTTGTACGTAACAGGCAAACAAAGCAGTCGAAGCGAGCGAGAGGAGGGAGGGCAGGCCGGCACGCCTCCCCAAGAAATCGCTTAACGATTACAGAGTATACCAACAGAGTTTCTGGCAGAGTAGCTGAGAGAGCTGCGAGAGGCAGGCGAGCGGGCTAAGAGATACATAATATGCTGCTGTCAAGTCGAAAAATGTTAGGCCTCCGAGCTTGGTGTTAAGGGTTGTGTGGGGGTGGTGGGTGGCTAGCTGATGGCTGATGGCTGATGGCGTGTGGCTTGGCTTGCTAAGCTTTTTCCACTTTTCACAGAAGCGCTGTTTGCGCAGCGCAAACAAACGAAAAACAACAGCAAAACAAAAACCCAAACAATTGGCGGCATCATTCATCATGAGCCAAAACATATGACAGCATATTTTATACGTATACAGTAAAAGAGAGAGAGAGAGAGAGTGGGAGAGAGGGGGTGGGAGGGAGAGTGTGATGGGTGGGCTTCCCTCCCACAAAAACAAAGTTGATGCTAATTAAAAGCCTTGTCTGCTGCATACGAGCTGACAATTATGCAAGACGAGCAGGAGACGGGAAGTCGGTGCCGTATCAAGTAACGCAATGGATATGGCCCGAAAAGGCAGCTGTCGCGTTTCCGGTTACATTTAATGAAAATGCCAAACAATATGAATGAAAACAATACGCAACACCAAATAATGCTTGGCTTGAGGTGGGCGGCGGCAGCGGGGCGGGCAGGCAGGTGAGGCAAAACGTTGACGTTTCGCTCAAAGAGGCCAACGCAAATGCAATTACTTACTAACGGAAAATTAGTGCTGCCATTGTGCATAAATTGCTCCACACACACAAACACACACACACACACACACACGCACACGGGGCGTATGCTTGCTATGCGACTGCGCTTTTGTAGCCAGCTGCCACTATTCCACTGCCTTTCCCCACCCTTTTAACCCCCCTCCCCCCTCTCTCTGTGTGTTAAAGTGTGCGCAAATTATGCTCATCATTGTGTGACACAATTAGCGCTGGGGCCAAGCCCGCAGAACGCATGAGGAGCGCAACTTAACCCTAATGGATGCATATGCCAGGCCAGGCAACAACAGCAGCAGCAGCAGGAGCAGCAGCAGCAGCAGGAGCAGCCGCAGCAGCAGGAGCAGCAGCTGCCTGCCACTCTGCAATTTTCTCATTTTTACTGCCATGCAAGTCATTTCATGCATGTGAAATTAGTTTATGTGCGCAATTTCAAAAGAAGTGCACAAAAAACGCGAAAAACAAAGAAAGAGAACCGCTAAAAATTTCACACTAAACGTTGCCCATTATGCAACATTTTGTTGCATGCAGCCGCGCGGCGCACAGGTGCAGGAACAGGCAAAAAGGCAAAGCGCATGCATCCGTCTTAACAGTTTCAGTTTAGTTTCGCCAACTGCATTTGGTCTTGTGCCCAAGCCTAAGGCGCTTTTCCCAACTGCAGACTGCAAATCCTTTTCCGAACTGACTTTGCAGCGAGCCAAGTTCTTGCACAAGCGACAATGCAATTTAGATAAAAACAATGCAAGAGTTTGTTGTGTGGATAAGGTTTTGCAAGTTTGGAATATGTTTTGCTGCAGGTTTTAGAAGGATGAAGAGTCAAGTCAAATGTGGAAGAAATGGGAAGAAATATAGAAGAAGATTAACATGGAACAATATAACATGGTTGCTTGCATTAAAAAATATTTAAAATTTCCACATTTCACTGACTCTATTGAATTTAGTACTAGCATAGCTTGAACCTAAGAGTTGATCGTTTGATTCGCTATGCTCTGCACGTGCAATTGCGCTGAGCAAACGTCTTTGTTAGAATTAATTTAATATTAATTGTAACTTTTTATTATTTCATATGCAAGCCAGACTCTCTGCTCAAGGTTTAATAGATTTCCTCTTTTTCTTTACATTTTTGGCCTATGTAGATATGCTCAGCCTAACTATATCATGCCCAAAAAGCAAAACTTCATAACATTGATTAAGTTTACTCACACATACATACAAAATCATTCCCTACTT